CATTTATACACTCATTACATGATTTTCTAGATGGATGAAGAAACATTAGCAAGTTCACGTTTTTCCAAAGGTAAAATCTATGGTGTACTACGTGCACAAGTAACTTCTGACAATGGTGAATATCATTCGGACAAATCAAAAATGACTCATTATAATTTAATTACGACTGATGATGGACCAAATCAAATGCCAGAACAATATCAAATCAATATCGATATTCAATCACGTGATGCTCCTAATGTTAAATGTGTTTCATTCGATTCATTTTCAATTGACAATTTTCAAGTTTCTGATTTACCATATGGATTCACTCCATTGAGATCGGACAGCGATGAGCCAATGGCAATAGATCTCGTTCGAAAACCTTTGTTTGATGTTAATCTTCTTACCCAATCTACTGCATTATCTGCCGATGAGATTGCCACGAAGCTCGATAATTATTTAAAAGAAGGAAATCCGAATGTAATTGTCTTCGGAACAAAGTATGATGATGGATATCATCAACCTGAGAAACATTATGGATTACAACGAGCAGCTAAACAACAAAAACCATCTCGTGGTATTGATGATGTGCATTTAAATCAGAATATAGGTAATGATGGTAGTGCCTATCAAGATGGAGCATTATTTATTGAAACAGGCGACAGTGATCAGAAAAATTATGTGGCTTTTTTCTTCTGCTTCGCAAATCAATGTGGATCTGAGTCAAATTATGATTGATGTAGTTAACCTAGACAAAAGCAATTTTATTTTAATTAACTAAAATACACATAATTATTGCTTATTATTATACTCTATTCAATTAATTTTTAATGCTTTTTCATTTTTATATTTCCTAAAAATAACATTGTTCTGTCACAGCTCACGGAAAAAACCATCTCGAGGGTGTTGATATAGACTTGTCTCTTCTTCATTCAGACACGCACTCACAAGCATTCGTCACTCTAAGCTCTATATCTAAAAGATTATAGCGTTATGTCTCTAGAAAACTATTTTTGTTTCGTTTTATTGAAATTCTTCAAAAGTAAGGTATTCCAAAAGAAAAGTTATGTCTTTCAATTTCTTGTGCTTCATACACGAATTGGAAAAAACCAACGTCGAAATATTTCCCATTTTTGTTTAAACATTGTGGTAAATTCTTTTTTGTATATTTCCGATGTTAATACGAAAACGAAAAAATGAAGTATAGGTGGAATAAACGAAATGAAATAACTCGCCAAGAATAATTTATATTCTTTCGGTGATTTCATACAATTAGGTAAAAAAGAAATGATGAGACGAGGTAATGCCAAAATAATCAATAAAAATGAACTAAATATAAGATGTTTATGCTGGTCAAATTGACGTTTGAGTTGTTGTTGAAAGGTAAATATTCTTTGTGCAGATGAACGTTGTCTTGCAGTAATAATCATAATACCAATGACTAAGATAACATTTAGTGAAAAAGGAATAATAAAATGAAATATATTAATAAATCTGTTATAGCTTTCCACTTCAGATGTAAATTTAACCCAACACCACGTTCTTTGATCTTCAGTATCATCAATTAGATGACGATGAAATGGTTCATGAAGAATAGATGCAGCAGTTAATATAAAAATGATAAATATAATTAGTTTAGCTAATTTTCGACTCTTTGCCTTATCAAACTGAACTCCACGAAAAACAACAAAAAATCTTTCAATTGTCACAGACGCATGTAACCAATCAGTTGTTGCTAATAAAAATCGAAGAATAAATTCACTTGAAATACAATTAAATAAAAGAAAAGATCGAGAAGTTATAGTATTCATTTGAGAAAAAATAAGAATCCATAATTTCATATAGAAACAAATGAGTACTAAAATTGATGTAATTGATGAAGTAAAAAGATAAAGACCACAACCTGTTTTTCGAGTTGATTTTATTTGAAATGTCAGATTTGATAGAATTCCACTAACAATGCCAATAATGAGGATTAATGTACCTAATGTTATACTAATTTGAACAGGTAATGGTTGTTGAATTAATGTTAGATGTGGATGAATATGATAACCCAAAATAGAATCAAGTGAAAGACCAGAATGTTTTGTACTAAGTTGACATTTATCACCAAAAAAACATTCTTGACAAACACACATTATTTTTGTTGGACAATGTGGATGATCTTGAAAACATCGTCCATCATTTTGACAATCATTTTGTCCTAAACAATTGTAAGTCATATTAAAATTAAAATGAAAACAATTTGCATGTCTTTCTTCTGTACATAAACACATAAATATATAATTATCATGAAAACAAGTAAGATCAGAACGATGTTGACATATAGTATGATAATATTTTACACGACGAAGATGTGGATATCCAACTATTATTTCATCTAATACTTCTTGAATGTGTGGACAACGTTGTGATGGAGAAATTTGTGTAGAAATAACAGCTGAAGATGTATAATAATGTTCAAGAACAATAAGATAATACATATGCTCAAATTCAACGAAAACAAGATGAAAGGGTAATGACATATTAAAAGTTATTGTTTTCTGATTGAATAGAATTTTCTTAAACATAGTTACTTGAATCGGTTCTGTTTTATCGCTCGAATCACGATTTGATATAACATTAATAAAATGAACGAGTAAAGATTGTGGAGTTTCCACATTAGAAAATGAGATGTCTATTCTTACATCTGTCTTTTCACAAAATTCGCCAGAAAATCCATCGGGACAGACACATGTGAAGTCAGCTAAAGATTGTCGAGAATCATGTGGTACACAAATACCATTATTCATACATATATTCTTCATTTGACAGATTGAATTAAGATAACATCGAGGTCCTGTTTTGTTTAAACGGCAAAGACAAATTGATCGATATTCTTTAAAACCAACGCAGATCGAATCTAACGCACAGTTACATTTGTTTTGTAGTGTAGAAATTGAATTCATCCGATTTGAACATCGACAAGATTGAGTATTATCATTTGTTAATGATTTCAGATATTTATCACTACATAATAAATGACAATTTTGTTTTGTTGGAATTTTCAATTGAACACTCATACGATTCACAGGCATAAAAAGAAATTTAACTGGAAATATCCAACTTGTAAGATAAGTAAGATTTATTTTATAATATGCATCAATATAGATTGTATAATTCTTCGTCATATCTTTCGGACGACTCTGATAAAGAAGATGCATATTATATTTCGTATTACAATTAATTACGGATTTGTATGTAATTTGTTCATAGGAATGAACAAAACCGGTATGATCAACAAGTCTAATAATAATACCAATTACATTTAACTTGTTTAAATTTTCTTGACGTAATCGAATAGTGAGACTAACACGTTGATTTTGATATTGACACTGATCACCATAATAACTCTCTGGACAAAAACATTGTTCTGTTTCATTTTTACCAACAAGAATTACAAATCCTTTATTGCATAACCATAATCTTGGATCATTATGATGTTTAATAGTTGATATTTTCGCGGTTTTTATTATACTATTGTGTTTTTGCTTATGAATTGATATTGACGACTGGACTGAAGGAAAATTACGTGATGATTTATGAGAGAATGGCTGTCTTCGAAAGATACCAACGTCCTCTATAGAATTTAAATACTGAATAATGTCTTGAAATTTGTCATTGAACTCATCACAGGCATGATTGAAGTCGTTAAACTCCGCGCAATATTTGCATGCAGTTTGAGGTAAAACACATTTTGTGTCATTCGAACAACGATAACGTGCCCAAACATTTTCTGGATGTTCTGATCTACAATAAGATCGTTCATCTGTTGATCCAAGACAATCAATAATCCCATCTCCAATACGATTTATATGCAAACAATCCATCTTGCGGCTGTTTGGAGACAAACAAGGATGATGATTTGCAGGGCATTGAAAACTTGATGAACAATTAATTTCATCAATTCCGTTTTCGCAATTCCATACTTTATTACAAAGTGTATATTGATTTACACATGGCCATTGTTCACAATGAGTTTCATCAGTTTCATTTGTATTAGAAACTATATCAGTCCAATTATTACAAAAAGAAGAAAAAGGAAATTGATGAATATTAGTGACGCTATGATCAATGAAAGTCTCATCTTCTCCGCCAATACATTGCGCCTTTTGATCATTCACAAGTATAGGTGAGAGACATTTCGATTCAGATGTACATTGAAAACGATATTTATCATTCAATGCACATGAGTTAGCTGCAATTGACTCATCAAAAGCATCAGGACAATCTGCAAATCCATCCATGATTCGACGCTTAGGTATACATCTATTCGTTCCTAAACAACGTACCGTGATTGGATCTTGGCAAATACTTTCATTATCATTTTGAGAGTATTGATTACATGTCCTAAAAATTTCATAGACGGTATCAGTTAATGTTAAATTTGGTCGATTAGTATGTAAACATGTATGATTATCTAATGTGAATGTTGAAATGAGAAATGGACAACGATCTTTGCTATAACATACGAAGTCAGGTTGAAATCCCAACATTCTGATAGATGTTTCATTAGAAAAATAGCCAAATCTCACATGATCATCCCATACTGTAAACGTGGGTGCAATGAACGCTGGTGGACAATCTTTAATAGTTTGTATTTTACATTCTTGCGTATTATTGCACAAATTTTTGCAATATTTAGCGAAGTCGACTCGTGACAATAAATGCGTTACACACATAAGAGTTTTGAAACAACGAGAGTATCGTGTATCCATAGGATTATCCCAATAAAACAGATAGTTAATTGCTCGATCTCGACGATTAGTGCATTCAGAAAGTGCTCGAGGCCCGTTCAAACTACGACAATCTCCATTTCCACAGCTAAAATCAGTATATTGTGGACAAAGAACATCTTCACATCTAAAAGATGAATCTCTCGCGCATAAAAGCACGCCTTTATATCGAACTTCATCCGATCCATCCAAACATTCTGGACTAATAATATTAATCTGTGAAATATCTTCATCCAAAAGAAATTCTTCGTTTACACACATACCATTTTGACATTGATATTCATTTTCCTCACATTGATTCATTTCTAGTTCAACACAATATTTTTCATCTTCACCACTATCAAGACAATTGACTTTCCCATCACATATTTCACGCCAATCAAGACAGGTTAGAAATGAATGATTATCACATTTTATATGCATATAGCAAGTTAATGTCATATTTTTATCAAACAACTTGGGCTCGTTAATTCTCATTTGAATAAAAGATGGAAATGATTGATTTAAAACAAACCTATATTGACAAAATGATCCAAACCATGGTAGAGTACAATTATAAAATACTTCAGTTGATGAAGATGTGTTCATTTGCAAAAAGTATTCATAACGTTCGATAAGATCAATAGGACTCGACCATTCCATTAGATTTGTAGAAGTTATATTATTCTTTTTTAATTCATCAAACGTTAATTTAGATGATATTGCTTTTTCATTAACATCGATTATTTCTTTCGAAGGTGTTCGAATACAATATTCAACAATTTGCTCAATTATATAAATATTTTCATATAAATCGACATTCGTAGTTATTGTTGAATAGAAACAATCATGATCAAATTCATTCGTCATCACATGTGTACTATAAAGATTGTAAAATGGTTGCCATGTATTTGCATTAGACACAATGAATATATTACTGATGATAATGATAATATAAGATAGTATAGCCATCTTGAACATAATATATCTGAAATAATTAAGATATAAGTGAGGATGTGAGTATGTAAGTAAAGATGTGGCAGATGAGAGGATCATCCATCTTACACCGCACTATCATCAAGAGTCTTTGAAGTTTTATAGAGTCTCGAAGTCCTGTGTTTTCTCCTATATTGTTCAATTTGAAATCTACATAGTTTTTTAATCATAAAATTGTCTTAATGATGTCTTAAAAACGGTGGGCCGAACTAGTCCGTTCTTAGATCTGTTAATATGATCATAACTGGAGAATGATATTCTATGGGATATTATCTTTTTGAGAATTTTCAAATTATGGCGAATCCCACGTATGAGAAAAATATTACCTTAGAAGTTTTTAGGCATATGGAACAGTTGTGCCGTATGAAAAAAACATCTTTAGATCACAGAAGGAATGCATTTCACAGCATGTCTAACCATAAAATTAGTTGAACTAAATAGATTGTTCTATCTGAAGGATCAAGAGGACTAGGGCGGACCAAAAGAACTAGGAAGGACCAAGAGGACTAGAAGGCTAAGGGGATCAGGAGGATTAGGGGGACGAAGGAAACTAAGAGGGTCAAGAGGATTTGAGGGACTATGCGAAACAATGGAGACTCATAACATTCAAAGGAATAAAAAAACGTCATTGATAAATACCAGGATTTTACTAGAAAATCAGAACTTTCAAGAATTTATATACATTCTAATTTCTTCACACAGGAAAACTCATCCTCTCTTGTACTGAATCATTTTGTCTTCGATAAAAATAATTCTCTTGACTCTGATTATAAAGAGTAGACTTATATACACTATCGATTATCATAAAATAGCAACGAAGTAATTTTGAAGACTCCTCAGCTTTCTTAGTCCCTCTAGTTTCCTTAATCACTCGTATGACTGGAACGGTGATGGAGACAATAGCTGATTGAGGGTGATTCCATCTGATTCAGATCAAGTATCTGATTCGTAGGAAACGTACTGTTTCTTTGTATATTCATTATGAAGAATGTTTATTTTTCACCTTCCTTAATTCTCGCTCTAAATATATTACGATGGTTGATTTTTGTCCAAAACTCAGTTTGAAATATAAAAGATCCTAGACATGTTACAAGTTAGGGCAAAAATGTTCAAAGATTTTGACGCTAAAACTACTGATATATTTCTCTTGTTTCCTACCATCGGGTATTTACGCATTGATCAAATGTAACTGAATATTTATGAGCATACAAGATTCAGTGAGTTTTAAGAGAAAAAAATGTCTGAATATAAAGTATTCTAATCTAAATAGAAATAAAAAGACGGATCTGATGCAAAAAAA